GGACAGGAGAGGACAATGAAAGCGTTAAGAAGTATCTGGCATCTAGAATCATAGATTGCAGAATTATTCTTCTTTCTGTTTTATAACTTTATAGCCCATTCCCACTTTTTTTTTTACTTAAAGAATGTGATTTACTCCATCATATTGCCATCTTCGTTTGGTTTGTCAAATGTCAAGAAAATGCTCTGTTTTGGACAAGGCCAACTTATACTCAAGGCCTGCCAGTGTGAAAATATTCTTTTGTGTTTTCGGTGGCCTCTGTGAATATTCTACTGACCCCAAGATGGCACTACTATTCTGCTACGGTTAGCGACGTTAACAATGAGCAGAATGGTACCCGAGACAAATAATTGTCTTGTCACATGCAAATTTAAAAACGATTAATCTGTAATAGTCAGAAATTATACATTTCTTTTTAATAAAAATATTTTTATTCAGAAAAAAAAGCATGAAATTTTAGGTTATCCCATTTTTCTTTTTTCATATATAACCGCCAGCTACTTGATTCTGATTTTAATTCCTGCTTACATCTAGATATATGTTATTTTTAATTGTACTTATTATGGTTACCTATTCTAATTTAAGGATAATTTAGAGCACGTTTTACTTTTAAATTATTTATACAGAGCGAAGTTAGCAGGTAGCTTCAGAACATACACTATTTCAGTGCAAAATTTTCATCGTATTAATATCAGTTGTCCTGTGCAACAAAATAATTTAAAGACACTATTAAATTTGTTAATACATAAGAGTAAAAGTACTTCTAAGAAAGATTTGGTTTAGGTACTGAAGATTTTTTTCTCTTTTTAATTAAAAAACGCATTTTATATTAATTAAATTTAAATACTTTTTTAGGAAATATTAAGAAATAAAATTTTAAATAATGCAGATATTTCAATATCACCAAGTATTTCAATAAGACATACAGCATATAATAACATGTACGACATTAATCACATCATATACTCCCTCTGTCCCAAATTAGTTGCTACATTAGAATACTTATTATTGGTACTGAAGATTTTATGATTTTGTTTGAACATTTTCCATAAATTTTAGGGTGCTACGTTATCAGTCAACAATAACTGTACTTACTAAGCATTCCCTCCTTAAATCAGTACCAAATTAGTTTCAAAAACCCTTAAGCCACGCCCCATTTTGTAAGAACACTTCCATCAGTAGTCGCTTAAAACCTTCAGATTAATTAAATGTAAATTCAGTTGTCTGTCTTGTCTATACAAGTCGGTTTGCCTTAGAAATTCTTCCATGAAGGCATCCCTCACCTTAGGTGGACAGCGCTCGAGGCTTTGCCTTAATCACATAAACACAATCTTTTTGAAATATAGTCCTTACAAAATGGGGTGTGGCTTAAGAGCGTGCGAACCCTCTAAATTTGCGTCGATAAAATTGTACCAAAATAAGTGCTACATTTGTGAAAAGTAAAAACTGAGAATGAAAACCTAGTATGCCATGTTACATTTCTTTTAGTACACCTTATAATTTTACTGATATCCATCTACTAAAATGCATTGAAAGTTACTTATGACTCTACCTACTTGAAATGTAGCACCGAATTTGGGACAAAACTTTCAACCTAACTGTAGCAACTAGTTTGAGACGAAAGGAATATAAAATTTTGAGACTGTTACTGTTGAATACCAAGTATTTCAATATCATTGATAGCATATTTTAAAAAATGCATATTCCCTAAAACAAAAAGTATTATTTCTATTAATTACATATATATATTATATATATAATAATTTATTTCCTAACAGTATTCATTAATTGATTATATTATCTCCTAAGTTTAATTAAAGTAGAATATTTTAAAAGTGTGCATCCATACTGGTAAGTTATATTTTGAAAGATGTTTTGAAGTAATTTGAAAGCAAAATGTTAATAATGTTTTAACGGGGACTGGAGTTAAATCATCACGAAGAATAATATTTCAATTGTAAAAGGAAAAATTAAAACATGTAATTATTGTCATTGATCGGAAATTAGTTGACTTTTCAAGGGGAACAAACCAAATCCCGTTCAATGAACAATAATTGATAAAAATACGTAAATATGAAAGTGTTTCGTCTTTACTCGAGTTATAAGTTAAAGCCAAACCGGCAATTCTAGTCAGGCCAAATATTTCCGCGAATAGTTGCTACTCAAAGAACTTATTCTCATGAAGCATTTTAGTCAATTCAATTTGGAGTAAAAATCAATTACTGTAGAGAAATCCTGTAAAACTCGAGTAACCGTCCCCAACACTATCATCTTTATGTATTTGAGTACTATATTATTTGTAGAAATTAAACATTGGAAATTGTCATTTTGAAATCGAATTCAAAGTAAAGTTGAAATAAACATAGAAGATTATAAAAAAGATAAATAATGCAAACTTTGTAAAAACAAAACAAAGATAACATAAAAATAATATAAAAATAATATAGAAAATAATATAAATAAGATCAGTGAATGTACATGAAGATATAAAGGCCAGAAAGGTATTAAGTAACTTACATTCTTTCTAGTGGGGGAGGTTGGCAAAGTGTTCTCTTCGTGTCTGACTCAGAAGTGTAGGGTGTCCGAAAATTCTTAGCTGGCAGTAGGGGCTTTGAATAATATCAGTCGGTGTAAGACTTGGGTGAAGTAATTTATGGTAGTGGGTGGGACTTGGAATTCTTGAGGGATGTATTTTGTGGAGTTCTTATCTGAGAGAGACCGTCTGTTAAGATTTTTTTGAAAATACTAGTGAAATGGAAATTAATTAATTTCTGGCTAATTGTCGTGTCGCAATGATTAAGAATTTAAGAAAGGAAAAAGGCATTTTCACTGTCCAAGAGCTAGTTAGACAGTCTAAAGGCAGGAAAATAGGCCCATTTTTTTAGTAAACAGTAATGTCTGAAGACAATTAGCTTTTTTACAATATATACAATTGAGTAATTACACTATATACAAATCTTTCAACTGACAGTCATCCAACTTATACCGCCTTCTCAGGTTTAGGAATAAATTATCATATCCCTATCAGTTACAATGATTTAGAGTGAGTATTTAACGCCTGCTCTTTTAAGGCAATGGTTGATAAATTTAATGGGAATTAGATTATTTTTGAGAATTTTGATAAGGATCAAAATTTCGCGTTGTAAAATCTATTGTATCTGTGCATATAGTTTTAATTCGTTGTATTTGATTAATTATAGTATTGTTAATTACTTTTTTAGATATGTTGGAGTTCCAATTTATTAATTTGTTAGTATTGAAATTGAAGTTTCTTGTTTTGTCAAAAAGTAAAATTTTTTTGTAGTTAATGATTTGAAAATATATATATATATATATAGATATGGATTCAACATGAATCTCTATTACTTCAAGTACAACCACAAAACACTCAACCAGGTAGACATAAATTCATGCACAGCATATTGATACATCACACTAAACAAAATGAGATATGCGCTTTAAAATTTTGAAGCTAGTACACACAACATTCAAATGTTTCTGGATCAAAGATAACAAATACAAGACCTAAAAAGTAATAAATTTCGTAAAAAAGTTACCGCAATTAGCATTTCTTATAAAATATATACGTGGATGCATTCTTTAAGTTTAATTGCATTAAATTCATATATATATATGAAAGGTTAAAATACGATTTATGCAGAAAAACAGATTATCTCCAGTATGATAAAAAAATTGATATTTTTATATCAGGGAAACGAAAAAGTGACATGAAGCTGAACACACATATTAAGAAGCTTGTTTATATACATAAGCTGAGGGAAAGAAACATATCAAAAGAATATTAAAGCTTTAAAATTTTACGTGACGATGGCTTTTGTTTCCAACAGTTATCTGTTGCGAATAATAATTTAAATACAATCGTAAAAATGTTTTTAAAGGAAGAAAACTTTGCAGTATAGCACGCAACAATATATCATCCTATGTTACTATTACTTACAAGGGCACATTTTAATAAAATACATTTTTTAACGAGCCACATTACAAATAGAAAACGTATAACAAAAGTGTAAGAGAATGCGAGCGCCACCTAGTGATGAATTTCGCGAAAGCCACTGAAAACCGGAATTTCATTCAGTCTGGCAGGCCTTGAGTATAAGTTGCCCTTGGTTTTGGAAGTCATACCTGCTGATGACAAATGGATTGTTTACAATAATGTCAGATACATGCAAACATGGAACAAAACATATGAGCTAACTCAAAGCACTCTGAGAGTTGATATTCATAAAAAAAGTTATGCTCTTTGTTTGGTAGAATTTTTTAGAGCTTCTATCAGAAAATTCCATAACTGACTCAAAAGTGTACTGCCATCAACTAGACAAATTGAGTGATACCGCCAAGGAGAAAAAACCGGAACTGACCAATAAAAAAGGTTTAGTGTTTTATTATAATAATGGCAGATCTCATGCAAGTTTGGCAATTTGTCAGAAGCTGTAACGGATTGAATGGGATATGCTGCCACACTAGTCATGGCACCTTTAAATTATTACTTGTTCCAATTTTTACAAAGTAATTTAAATAGCAAAATATTTACTTCAAATTGGGATGTTAAAAAACACTTGGATCAGCTTTTTGTGAGCAAAAATCAGAACTTTTATAAGCATGGAATCATGTTTCTCTCAGAAAGATGTTCAGCCAAAATGGTCAATATATAATTCAGTGAAATATTTATTTAAGGAAAGTTTTTCTTTTTTTCTATGAAAAAAAAAATTACTTTTGAACAACCCAACAGAATCCAATATTTGGTAGCATTTATCGCATAATTCCAATGCTATAATGACAAAATATAAAATGATTGTCTAAATTAATAACAAAGGTTAAATAAAAATACAATGCAACATAACTAGAGAAAATTAGACGACATGTGTATTTTTAATTTGTACTTCTCTCCCAAGATATTCCACACATGATAGAATGACGTTTCATGTTACTTTGATGAGAAAAACCTTTGCCACATTTAGAACATTTGAAAGGCTTTTTACCAACATGTGCATTTAAATGTGTTTGCATATTAGCTCTGTATTTTGTAGTATAAGAACAAAGACAACACTGATGGACTTTTTCACCAGAAGGCAGACAGCGTGCATAACTTGATATACTATACAATGAATCATCCGATGAGAGATTTGAGCTCCGCCAAGTTGTCACTGCACACAAATAAAATATATTTTTAGCAAAAATATAGTAATTACAAAAATTCAATGCAAGATATATTAAAATTGCATTTTTAATTAATCACCATAAGTTATAAATTTAATTTAATACATTGTTAAACAATGTATTAAAAAAGCATTCTAAAAGCTCATATATTTATGCATAATTTTGTTATAAGTAAGCCATATGATATTAAATGACATTTTAAGTCACTATAAATAAACATAATAAAATCCTCATGTCAATTGCAAAATTAACTTATTTCATTTTTAGATATTTGATTATTATCATCACTTGTAAATAAATACTTAATATTTTTAACCTTGCAATTATAATTACTTGTCGATCATTTTCTTAATTGTATGCGAAATACTTGATTTTTTAAATAATTAACTTCCTGAAATCTAGAAACACTTTAAATGGGCTGTCTTTATATGTAGCCTGACACAGATGTCAGCATCTTAATGAAAATTATTCAGGGTTCATTTATGGAAATACTTTAATTATTGATGTCTTTGAATAAAAAATACTAACTCCTTAATAAAAGGATATGATAGATGAAAGTATAGTGCATTATACACAGAACTTGCAAATGAACATATTGAACAATCTTAATTACATAATTTTTATATTTAGAATGTTTTTACTTTTCTGATTAATTTATAATGCAGGTGATGAAATAAAATCATTGCATCTTTATATAACAAGGTTATTTTTTATAAGGGTATCAACCACCATTTTTTATTAGTCATAATGAATCAGAATAATATGATAAACTGTGCTTTACAAAACGAGTATTACACTGCTACTGATATTGAAGGCACAGTGTTTAAATTTCATTCCAAGAAACAAACATTAATTCAGTGCCTTGTATTTTCATGGTTAACTTACAGTGTGGGAGCTGAATGAAAAACAATGAAGACAATAACAGATTTTTTTAATGCATAATACAATACTGGCCTATACACAAATTATAAAGGATAATTCCAATGTTACTCACGTCAAATTTTCAAAAATAAAGGAAGTTCCAAAATAGATATTAATAATAAATTGTTTCACTAGGTAACATCCATATATTGTTACAAGTAATAACTCACTTGGGTTAGAGTAGACCTTAACACATTGACTGCCAGTCACTACAGTTAGATTGATAGTTATTGCCACCCACATGGAAGTAAATTGTATCCAGATGCCAACATACTTATTATAAGAAATATGATTTAAAAATATTAATAAAAGATAATTATGTGATACCTAAGTATTATTTAAGTCTTTTATTAAAGAATTTTTTAATTACGCGCTAGTGTGCGATTGACACTACATGTCAAAATTTTCCCCAAATGCCACATTGCGCGCTGGCGCGTGGAATGTAAAAAAATTAATTTAAATAAGAAAAATAAGTGACAATACGCTTTATTTTTATATCAATATGTATTACAGACAATTATACATATTACAAAGGCATTTATAACAAGAAAATTACAAAGACATTATACAGATACATCTAGAATGTTATTTGTGTATAATCTTTGAACAATCTAAACAGTACCTGGGAGATCCTTCACAAAATTTGCAAACATATATTGTATCTTTATGTTTTCCTTGAGAATAGCAACTTTTGCATTGGTTTCTTAGAATTTTTCCTTCTCTTTTTTCTTTCCGTGTACTCAGCACATGTTCAAATTCAGACTGATCACACACAGGAGCACAAAGAACAGATGACTGTTTCAGTAAACTTCGTATCACGGATAAACGGTAGTCATACAGTGATGTATTTTCATTGGAATTTTTATTATAGATAAAGTGGGAATTGTTCATCATTATTTGCAAAATATGAACAAATATTTTCGTGGGCCACCTAATTGTTTTTCTTTCACAAGGATAATAAGCAAGTATCTGATCTTGCTTATCAATACCGCCCATAAATTTATTATATTGAATTACAGGTAGAGGTTTCGAATTAATTTCATCTCTTTTGTTTGTTATTTCCGCCATATCATTTTTATATTCATTGGAAATGTAAGTGACGTCTCTCTTATCCTCTTATCCTCACTTTGCAATCATCACACCATTAGCATACTTTGCCCTTTTTTCAGTTTTTCTCTTTCGGATTATCTCAGTGCAATGAGTTTTCCTATCAGCAAGACATTTTGACAGTTCACAGCTGTTATAATAATTGTCCATAAATATGCTATGGCCTACATCCAGCATTCCCTCGAGTAAATTAATAACTTTTTTTGCATGTTCTTTTCTGCCAGAATCATGCAACATACATGTATATATCATAAATTTCAGAACCATACCATCAGGGGTTGTGATAATTTACAATTTGATATAATATTTGTGACGTTTATTTGGTATATACTGTCTGAATATAAGCCATTCACACCCCAATAACATCGATTCATCTAAACTAATCTCACGCCCTGGGTAATATATTTCAGATACTCACGCGTTGAACAAATTCACCATATCTCTTACTTTATACAGTCGATCCTCTGGAAGCTCTGTATTCTGATCTGGGATTTTTGCGAAGTGCAATGCCCTCAGTAACAATAAAAACAGATTCCTGCTCATATTTTCTGAAAATACACACAAACCAAACAGTGAAACTGTTCTCCAGTAATTTTGTATATGGTTAATTCGTACAGTTCCCATATATATGATCAATCCCACAAATACCAAGAGTTCCTCTTTTGTAGTGCTCTTCCAAGCATTGATGCGAGAATGTTTCTTTTTATCCTTGCAAAAAAGTACTTTATGAGCATAATCATTAGTTTCAGCAAGTATTTCTTCCAAGATACCATCAGTGAAAAAATGACGAAAAAAATCTATAGGACTGTTACCTGAAACAGGTTGGAGCAAACACTCGGATTTTATGAAAGGAAATTTTTTCACTGATGTTGAATCGTTTTCCTAAACAACGTTTTCCGCCATAGTTGAATCATCCTGCTGACATGCAGCCTCTTGCACGATTCGTCCTTCATCATCATCAGAATCCGAAATATCATGGGAACCAGTCGGAGGAACGAATTCTTCATCACTGTCATAACTAAAATCACTCGGGTACTCATCCGATAGCTCAGCCAACAAATTTGCTATTTCATCAACCGTAAAAGCCTTTTTATATTGAACTTTTCTTTTTTTTGGGCGTGAAGGCCCTGCACTATCATCTCTATAACACATACTAAAAGATTATTTTTTCAATAAAAAATAAAACAATTTCGAAACCGCGATTATTTATACGTAGTTTCTAATTTTCACTCCAAGCCAATACCAGAAGAAATGCCCTGTATGCAATGCCAAATGAACTGGAGAATGAATAACAAGTATAGGATTTTCCCGTGCCAGCATGTGACTGGCTGTTGAGACATCACCCCACATCACGCGCTGGCGCTTGATTGGCTCCTTGCTGATAACAAAATGTCATGCACTGGCATGTTATTGGCAGTCAATGTGTTAAGGTACCCCTTGTATTATGGCGAAGCTCTTGTTTCATTTATCACCAAGTTGCTGTTTCATTTATGGTAGCCTGAGTAATTGAATGTTATGGAAACCCTACTGTGACATAATTGGGTGCATGACGCTGGGAAATTTTGAATCATGGGATGTTTTGTAAGCGGTTTTGTGTTATGTGTTGGTTTTATTGTTTAGAGGGTAGAATATTTGAATGTAGTAAGATTAATTTGAAGTTTCTATATGATTTGGAATGAAAGGGGAAAAGAGCGTTAATTGACTGGTGTGTAAATGAAGGTTTACTTAATAGCCATTATAAGTGCCCTGTATGTAGGAAGGATATGTGTCTAGTCGAACATAAAAACCATTTAGATGGATTTGTAGGAAGAAAGGTTCAGATGTGGTGACGCCGATATACAGAAGTTTTTGGATGCTGTTACGGAATTTTGTGTGCCACAGACTAAAGATGAAGGAATTTCTAAATAGGGTAAGCGAATATTTGCTTTTTGCAGTGCTTAAATGTATAACATGTTTTTCCTTTTTATATTATTTTATTGTTTAAAATGTAGTTTATTGAGATTATGCACTTTTTCTTTGCCTGTATTGTAGAATCGGGTGCTCTTTTGATTTTATAAATGAAAATATATCGATGTGTACATGGACAAAGTGAAGGGAGTGTGCAATGCAAGTTTGTGCAATTCTTGGATTTTTTAAAGTGAAAATAGGTCGACGTGTACATGGATAAAGTCAATGGAGTGTGCAATGCCATTTTTGTGCAATTCGGGGATTTTTTTTTAAAAGTGAAAATAGGTCGATGTGTACATGGATACCGAGTTTATGCAATTCTTTGTCTTGTTACTTTGGCTTTGCGTAGCGGCAATTTTTGGGGCAAAAATCGGCATTATGAAAGCCAAAATAATAAGTAAAAGAATTGAACAAACTCGGTATCCATGTGCCACCAAAAATCAATAAGTTTCGCCTATTCTAAAATATACTTTTACCCTCACTTGAAATATCAGTTGAAGTTTATGCTGTTGACTTCAAAAATTGTTTGTTTGGTGCAAGATGGTGATTAGTTTTCTCCAAGCAGAATGAAATTTTATGATGAGCATTACTTCTTCAAAATGCAATCTTAAGGAAAAGTTGACAACATTTTCCCAAATGTTCATGAACCTAACAAGACAATGATTTTCTGCTTGATAGACAGTATTCACAAGCTGATTTCAAGAAAGCGAAATTAAATGAAGTGGTCATCCCTCTCTTGCAAGTTTGGACAAAATGGATCAAATCAGGAAAAACAAAGAGTGCGATAAAGATGGTATTAAAATGAAATTAATAGACTTCCATGTAATGCTTGATCATTCAAATTTATCTTGCTTGGAAAAAATTCATCTCCACTTTGCATTAAACAAATGGTTTCTAAAACTAATAACAAAGTGGAAAACAATTTACCATCAATAACCCATTTGGAATTTCTATAATTTTTGAAAGTTTGATAAGTGCAATTTTTGGATCACCCAGTACAATCCCCTCTTCATGGATTTCTAAGTGGTAAGTTAGTAAATGAAGAAAATACATATACCAGTATATATGGGATACACACAAGGACAAAATAATTCAAAAACATATTTTTTCATTAATGAGTTGCTTAATCGAGTTTAAAATAAAATTCAAATTTTAAAGTTCAAGCAAATTAATTTTATCACTGCTAAATTATATTTAAAGGCAAAAACATGCAATTAATTTTTTTTTAAATATTTCAAATAATTTACTCTTTTCTATTTTCATTATTAAATTAAAACTGTTCCATTTTACAAAGATGGCTAGTTTCTGGCACTTTTTTTACCAAAAATCTAATCACTTCAATATGCACAACTGATCGATATTCTAATTTTTAAGCAGACTCCTTTAAAGGAAAAAAGGATTAATTCCATGGTATAATTATGCAACTTTATTACCTTATAACTAAGTTGGTAGGAATTCCTAAAACTGTGAATGATAAAAGGTAAATTTTAATTTTTACTAGCTTTAATTCATTGATTAATGTTACATAATAATGCAAATGAAAGTATCATCAAAGTGTGTTTTGAAGAACTATCACAAATTTTGGTACCTGCTAATTATCCACACTCAGGTATCAGCACTCCAGGAGTACTGCAATTATCTTTTCTTTGGCATACTTTTGAACATAAACAAAACATTACCCAATAAATATCATACACATGTTTGAGTATACTTAGAATTATGTGTTAGCATTTAACAATCATTTCACTAAATAGCATTCACCAGCTGTAAACATGTAAATATTGTCTGTCATACATACACTTTTGTTTTTTCTCATAAAATCTGTCTTATATAAAAATTTTATTACTTTTGAATAAAAATAGCCAGGATTTCACTGATGCACAAAATTGATGGGGATACAAATACAATATTCAGATTTCACTAAAAACAAATTACATGATATATAGTTGGTCACATATATGGCATTTACTAAATTTGTTTTATAAATACATCTGCTACTTTTTCTACATAAAAGACATCTGGATCTCAGATTCAAAATTCTGCAGTGTTATGTCATCATGCTTCATATAATACAAAAAAAAAAGGCAATAACATACATTCATAAATAAAATCTACAAATATCTGTTCTGCATCAAAATTTATTTTTGTATGTGCCTAAGAAATTTATGCATGCACAGTAACAGCTTATTAATTCGTACATGTAAACAAATTGTACAGAAATGTTGCGATTATCAAACTGTACACATTTAAATAAAATGTATGTAAAAAAAAAAAAAAAAATTGTATATAAAATCTAGTTTTTGGTAAAGTTATTAATATAAAGGCAAAAATCGAATGTTTTCATACACTTCCTTTCAGAACATACAGCCTCTTTTATACATTTTTTTACAACTCAAAATAGTAAAAGCAAATAATGTAAGACCTCTAGCAACAATAAAAACAGAAAAAAAAAAAAAAAAAAAAAATCCCATGAGTAATATAAATGCTCACAGCTATCAAACTGTAATTGCATTAAAATGAAAAACTTTGAAACTGATAAACTATTTACATCAATATAAAAACTTTCAGACTTTACAGGCAATATACATTTAAATAATGCCTTAGAACTTTTCATGTTACATTCAAAAAACCTAACGAAATGATGCATAAAACATAGCATATAGGCTATTATCTTTATTTTACCTCGTTCAATTGATTTTTTTTTTTACTGTGTTAAAAATTCCCTAATTTGTTTAGCATATAGCTTTTTTATTAATTTAACTTGTAAATATTCAAATATTTTTCTCCTCTTTCACACATTTCATAGCAACTAAATATGCTTATGTTGGAGTTTTCACGGAGCCCCAGTTTTTTGTAACTTTTTGGCGTACGTACTAAAATTGATCTTCTAATTTCCTTAATTTTGCAGCACAATGCACAAAATTTTGACCAAAATTGGTCTTTTTTCGTTTGTTCTTACAACTTTACTTAACATATACAGCTTTCTCTGAAGAAAGCATAATTTTCCATAAGCAATATCTAACTATATTTCAAAATTCATTTTAATTTTGCTTTGAAATGGATAAAAATTTTCAAATGAAACAAAATTAAGTGATAAAGAATTCACATTTCATCCGGTGAGACTTGAGATAGTGCAGCACATTTAAAATTTTAACACAGGTAAATAAGGTACAGAATTATGATACATATAATTTCTCTCATAACAGCAGTTTCAAGCAACACCGAACAAGCAATTCTGTAATCAGCTAACACATTAAAAATTTGAAGTCTGTTAATTTAGAAACTTTCTAATTATCCTAAAACAAGAGACAGACAGACAATGAAGACAGACGTCTTGTCTTGCAGCCCCTAAGTCTTTTCGCCCGTAGGCCGAAAAATCAGCTTACATGCAAAAAAAAAAGACACATTGAAAAAGGGTAATTTTTATTTAAAAGAAAATTTTAGTAGCATTTGACTCGAATTTTTTAAAAAAGGATAAAAAATTTGGTTGGTTGCAAAAAAAATATATGGATGTTACCTACTTATTTTTTTTCTTTTGGTTACAAAAAGAGAAAAATAAGGCTCAGGCAATTGAGCCTTAATATTAATCTGGATAAGAAAGAGAAACTTGAAGAAACGTAACCATGCGCTTTCTTACAGTTTATTCAACAGGCAAAAAGACTAAATTCAGTAATTTTCATGTTTTTCGAAGATTTGGTAATATGTTATTATGGGACATTTTTTAACATCACATTAAGTAAATATTATATAATGAGTTGTCAGAAAGGAAATGCGCAGCGTTCTCGACCTCAAAAATATAAAAATGAAACTAAATTTAAAAATGATAAGTATGATTCTAGCAAAAAAACCCAGTTCTTGAACAGCATGGAAATAACTTCTCTGTGTCCAAGGTGTGAATCCATAATTGTTTGGAAAATACGATACAAAAAGTATAAATCGTTAACAGTTCCTTCAAAGTGGTGAGATAACTCAATTATATATCCCTTAAAACTGTACTTTTCTGCTGTGCACTTTAAGTTATTAAACTTAACTCTTTAAAAAAAGTATTTGTTTTCGCATAATTAAGCATTGTAATTTGATTGCGTATTAAGAAACACAGGTAAAATCCTAGTATACGGTGCAGCCTTGGCGTGATTTTGAAAATGATCGCCAACACCAAAAATGATCCAAAGAACGTCGCGATTTTGAAAATTATCGCCAACACAAAAAAATGATCCAAAGAACGTCTATATACTATATACTATGTGTGTACATACATAATATAAACTATATATAACTATATATATTTGAATGACCTGTTTACTACTCATCGTACATGTCCCGTTTTTACTGCTCATCATAAAGTCGCCAAAATTAGCCAAATCTCGTGTGCACCGGATACTAGGATTAAATCGAAACATATTCTTTAAACGTCTTTGCTTATCTGGAATGTGCGATGAGAAAAATAAACGATGGAAGCACTTCCGCAGAGAACCTGGTAAATGTAAATATCGCCAACTTTGGCGATAATAGTTCAAACCTGGTAACCTATCGTATTCGCTTGTTTGAAGGTTGCAACCATTCCTCTTGCGTTCATTTTGTTGAATTATCACTGTTGTTGTTCGCATTTTGAGATTTATATACTTATTTATTATTATTTTTTCTGATTTTCCACCTTATTTTTCTGAATTTTTTAACAACGAATGGATAGAAATATTTTCTTTATAATTAAAGAAAGTTTCATCCATAGATGCCGGTTCACGGCTCCAATTTTTATGGCGTAAAATTTTAACAAGATACTATATTGTTAATGTTTGGTTGATCTTTAGATTATGGTAACTTGGCGAAAATTTGGCGACCAACTCTCCTACAGCAACCCTCTATTTTTTTTTTTTCCCCGCCGCCATTTTGTCTTCACGAAGTAAAGACATGTTTCTTTTCTTTTTATCTACTGTACACTTCTTCCAACAATCTACTAGCCGAATTACACTTATGCTAGAAATTTTATCTAACAAAACTGCTTAATCATGACAAATATTCACTGCAAAATTGGGAAAAAGTGCACAATAGCAAACTCCTTGCGCATTTTTCAAAATAACACATACAGGTAAACCATGTACATGTCGACTTATTTTTACTTAAAAAAACATCCCAGAATTGCACAAAAATGGCATTGCGCACACTCTTCACTATATCCATGTACACTGCTTTTTTCTCATAAATTAGAAAAATTTCACGAAAATACATGACAATTTTTCGAATCTTTAAACCTGGTAAAAAGAACATACCGTATTTATGCAAATCTAATGCGCATCCCCATTTTAAAACTTTAAATAATAAAAAAAATTGTTTGTCAGCAAATGTAATGCACATCAATGGTATGAGGAATTTATTGAATCTTATTTTATACAACAATGGATTTGTATATAAACTATCAGTCAATGGTATGTTAATTTTATTAAAATTTAGATACCATATTTTATACAACAATGGATTTATACATAAAGTAGCAGAACATAGAATTAACCTATTAGTGGGCTATTGTTATGTGAAACAATCATTGTTAATTACCACTACCGTATATACGATACATATCGTAAAGTATGAACATGAAATAAATCGTAACATTTATCTAGTAACAGTTTCTACAATCTGTGATTAATAGTAAAAGTCTTTATTCACTATTTTGATGATAAAACTTCTTAGTCCCCTTCCTCCGTAATGTTGTAGTTACGAGGCATATCAAACCAAATTGGCGTCTCGTCAGCGTTTGCCAATTTGCCCCATTGAAAAATTCTTTTTCTTCCGAAGTGTGATGACATACCGCTAAAATGTTAGTAGTTTTCCCTCAAAATCTGCAGGAAGCTTTTGGCATATGTGTTCTACGGCGTCTTAGAGATAAGCCCATCTGCTTCATAAACCAATCCACCCATCCACGGCTAGCTTTAAACTCTGGTTTTGGTATTCCAAGAACTTCAGCCTCCTCTTTTGCTTTATTTCTTATAGTGTCACTAGTCACAGGTTGTCCTTTCTTCCTCCTTTCACGTACAGATTCCAAAACTTTTTCTTCAATTTTAAGGTGTCTTCCTTTGTGAGGGCCAGTGAATTTCTTTCTACTAATTTTAGTTGCAAACAGTGCCAATTTCTGTTGCCACCACAAGCGAACATTGCTCTCAGCTACATTTAACCCTCTCCCAGCCTTACTATTGCCATTTCTTTCAGGATAAAGAATTACTTTACGTTTGAAAGTAGCGTCATATGACATTCTTCTCTGCTTGCCCTCCATTTCGTGACTACGTACTCTGCAGTTTGTATCCTCTGTGCAATAATGTGTCAATGATAATGTAACGGTAAATGTAGTTGAGAAATACAGTAATCCATTGTTACGATTTAAATTTGGTTGACGTCATCGGTGAACTGCTGACATCAACGGCGAACTTTGCACTCGAATCTAATGCGCACCCCAATTTTTTAGTACTACATTTGGCCAAAAACGATGCGCATTAGATTCGCGTAAATACGGTATATGAAATTACCTTATCGCGAAAAAGTATATACCCTATTCGAATATGAACATTTCTACGTATAAAATAAATAAAATATCCAAAAACTTTTACCTCTAAATTACCTATTATATTATAAACGTCACCAACGAATTCATACCGCAAACATTACAAATACTTAGTGTCAAATATTTAAATTATTTCCATGCACGTTTACTTCAACTAAAACGTATACCAAATTCCTACAAACATAAAATTCACAAAATTACTATCATTTAATTAAAATATCACTAAACCATGTACACATCGACTTATTTTTACTTAAAAAAACATCCCAGAATTGCACAAAAATGGCATTGCGCACACTCCTCACTATATCCATGTACACTGCTTTTTTTCTCATAAATTAGAAAAATTTCACGAAAATGCATGACAATTTTCTAAATCTTTAACCTCGGTAAAAAGAACATCTATGAAATTACCTGATCGCGAAAAAGTATATACCCTTTCCAAATATGAACATTTCCCCGTATAAAATAAATAAAATATCCAAAAACTTTTACCTCTACATTATCTATTATATTACAAACGTCACCAACTAATTCATACCGCAAACATTACAAATGGTTACAAATACTTAGTGTCAAATATTTAAATTATTTCCATGCACGTTTACTTCCACTCTAACGTATACCAAATTCCTACAAACATATAATTCACAAAAAACTATCATTTAATTAAAATATAATAAATTCAAAAACACTACTTAAAATATAAAATCATTGCTAATAACAATTTTCCAATAATACCATATTATTTTATTTACTCCTTACATTTAGAACAATGCACAAAAATAATATCCTGAAATAATTAAAAATACTAACTTACCTAATCTTCAGAATCTTGATTACGTGTCCGATAAACTTTTCTTATTTCCTCTGCTAAATAAAAAGCAAGCGTATGTGCGCCTGTTTCAGGATCTTTAAAATCATACTTATAGTTCACAGCAAGGTACCAGGTAAAATAAATAACTTAATAAAACATCTTTACTTCTATCTCGCACAACATGAAAGAAACACTTATTACTACCCCTTTCAATCCCACTAAATACCCATTTCGAATTCACGTTAGTTAGGGCCATGGGATCCAAAAATTAACGAACACTGTTTCACACAACACAGAATAAAGCTAAATACAAAATTTCCAGATTTTTTCCCGATTTCCCCCCTTTTCCGATTAAAGAACTGTAATTCGTCCATTAATATCACATGACATATCCCATGATCTCTCATTTCCCTCACACAAAATAATATGTAATCGGAACTGAGTACTGCTCACATTATTACCAAAGTCCCAGGTAGTAACCTTTATCATCTCCAAAATGTCGCCAAACTACCAGTTACCATATTCTAAAGATGAGCCTAATGTTTTTCTAACAATAACCTTTCCGAGGATGGCAGGTATGACATAAATAGCTGATTAAATTGAAATAAAAAATATTATTGATTATCTAAGATGACAGAGTAGTTTGATGTATCCCCATGGTCATCAAACTTAGCAAACCACTGCTGGTGTAAGGAATACAGTTCAAATTAGTCTTGAAAAATAATAAAATGTATAAAGTTCTAGTTTTGTTAACAATGCTACTGAAGAAAATTTGATTACTGTTGAAGGTTATTTGTATTGTGAAATATATTATGAAAAATACAGCTTTATTTTCGTATATCACGTTTAACCGGTTAGTTTTACATCTACATGCTTATTATCTGTGAATTTTTGCTACCATATGCTTAATATTTTGTTTTGTCTGTTAATTTGAATTTACATGCACTAAAAATCATGTTTACGGCTCGGCTCATCCCTTGGCGAGTAAAAACTGCAACGGCGCCAACGGGTTCTCTGCGAATGAAAACCCTAAACGATTGTGCTACCATATGCTTAATATTTTGTTTTGTCTGTTAATTTGAATTTACATGCACTAAAAATCATGTTTACGGCTCGGCTCATCCCATGGCGAGTAAAAACTGCAACGGCGCCAACGGGTTCTCTGCGAATGAAAACCCTAAACGATTGTGTGAATGAAAAGTGGGGATGTTTCCGTAACCGGCACTTGGCGAAATTTCGGATTTGTTTACATCGGAAGAGACTTGCGCCAGAATATGGCAACTCTGATAATTGTTGCAACCCACCCAGGGAATTTTCCTGAAGGTGGAAAAGGGAAGTTTTCTGTTTACTTTTCGAACATTACGGTAAGAGAAAATAAAGTTTGAAAATCGCAAATCATTATTAGTTCTGAAATTTTAATGTAAGCAATGTGTTCATAAAACTGTAATTAGTTTACGAACGAGAGAAATAAGTGATTGTGTTAAGTGAAAAGTTAACCCTTGTGAATCCAGTCAAGCAGTACATTTGCAGAGCTACAGTTTATTATGACTATCGAAAGGAGTTTACAGTGATTTTGAATGTAAATTAATTTA